TCACTGCCATTTTACAGGGGGAATGACAGACGTTTGCCCAAGATCATCTGAAAACTGTGCATGGCAACAGCTTCACCTGGTCCTGTATGCTGAGGCACACTCAGGTGCTCCATCCAGACTGAACAGTCTAGTCAATGATCTCGGATAGACACGAGCCCTGCCTGCCTTCTCTAGTCTCATTGAGTTTTACTGCGCCTCAAGACCTGCTCAAAGCCCCGCTTTCTCCTTCCTGGTAGTCTTTACTGGATCAGCTGCTCACACGATCCCACTCCTGAGACGTAAGCTACCTCCTCTATGCTATCTATCTACTCTTCATAGGTCATCTCCTCTACAGGCTAGCACCTCATCAGACACGCTGAAATGCTGGATGATGGTGATATGGCTCAGGGGACCGCAGCACATATTTCCCAAATCACCAACATATTTCACAAATCACAAATCAGATGGGACAGTAGAGGTCAGGAAAAAAAAATTAAAGGATAGTGAATGTTTCAGGCTTGCGGGCTACAAGAACTGTCACTCAACTGTGAATCCAATTTCTACTTAGCACAGAAAGAGCCAAAGACAGTATGGAACAAATGGGCACAGCTGCCTCCAGTAAAACTGCATGGACACTGATATTTGGGGTGTGCATAATTTTAAGGTCTTATTAATTATTATAGTTCTTTCTTCCTTTGTTCTTTTTGCTTTTTCAAAACAGGGTTTCTTAGTACCTATGGAGCCTGTCCTGGAACTTGTTCTGCAGACCAGGTTGGCCTTGAACTCACAGAGATTCACCTGTCTCTGCTTCCCGAGTGCTGGGATTAAATGTGTGTGCCACCACTGCCCGGCATTATTATATTTCTTTAATTTATAAAATATTTGAAAAATATACAAACCATTCTTGGCTTGTGGTGCATACAAACACAGCGGGAGACCAGACTGGCCCAAGGAGCTTGCCCTGTTCCTACTGTTGCCCTCAGATGATGTCATGTCTATTTACTGTTTATCACTCTTACGTATTTACTTCACATCAATAGGAATACACACATTATACACATATGAGTGTACAGAAAAACTTTTTTTCAGTGCTGGGGCTAGAACCCAGGGTATTACATACACTAGGCAAGTGCCCTACCATGGAGCCATAGCTGCAGCCTTAGACTATGTTTTATTGATGCTACAAAGTTTTAACTTAATTCTGTTTTATCCCAATAATGTAGATTCCCCCCCCCCCCCGCTTGGAGACAGTTCTGTTTTTATCATATATAATCTTGCTTTGCTTTAAAAGCATTTATTTATTTAAGTTTTTCATGATAGGTTTCTCTGTAGCTTTTGGAGCCTGTCCTAGAACCAGCTCTTGTAGACCAGACTGGCCTCAAACTCACAGAGATCCGCCTGCCTCTGCCTCCCAAATGCTGGGATTATAGGCGTGCACCACCACCGCCCGGCTTTATTTTTTCTTTTGTGTGTATGCAATGTGTGTGTACCTGCAAATGTATAGAGGGTACAGGACAACTTTTCTCTCTTCCATCTGCCTTTGAGGCAGGGTCTCTCTCATCTCTTTTAAAATTTTTTTTAAAAAAAAACATCTATAGTGGTGTGTGTGGTGTGTGAGCATGTGTGTGTGAACCGACATGGTTCATGCTTACCATGCTGTACTTACAGAGATCAAAGAACAATCACAGAGTCAGTCTCTCCTTCCATCATGTGGGTTCAGGGAACTGAATTCCCCTTACCAGGTTTCTGTAGCAAGTGACTTTACCTGGTGAGTAGCCTCCCATCCCTAATAACACAGTCATCTTAAGTGACTCACTGAGGAAAGGGGTTGCTAGGCAACTGTTGGTGTTTACTAACATCAAGCCTAGCTGCAGAGGAAGGAGCTTTTAAAATGTTCAGTCATTCTCAGCACCTCAGAAGTCCTACTGCAAATAGGCAAATCTTTAACTGTATCTCATCTGCAAAACCAGACTCCCCATCTTAACCACTCAGGAGAGATGGCTGCACATATGTAGATTGCAGAGACTCACAGGCGACATTTCCATATCCTTTACCTTTATCTTCACACTGCATTTCTCCATTCTCACAGAGATACCCTGATTCAGGGATAGCCCTCGCAGCTCCACAGTTTAGAGGATCAAAGCAATGGATTTACGGAAGGTACCAGAGCTAATAAATAGGGCTTAGATCTTGAGCCCCATCATGCATTACAGGTGGCCCACAGTCCACACACTCCAGAAGTCATAGCCAGAATTTGATGCTGTGCATCTTGTTTAAAAGTTCATTATGCAGAATCAAAGTACACATATTTTTAAAAAATGTTTTTTGAGGCTTTTATTATTTCTTTCTCCTGTCAGAGGCACCATATTTTTAAAAGTGGCTCTTGGGCTGACAAGATGGCTTAGTGGTTAAACGTTCTTAACTGAGCCCTATGACTTCATTTTCTTCCCTGGGACCCGCAGTGGAAAGGGAAAACCAGCTCTTGAAAGCTGTCCTCTGACCTCCACATACATACACTAAATAAATAAACACAGGAAAAGGGTATTGTTGTTGTTGCTTAAAGTTCATTCTGTAAAATACAACATTTGGGCTCTAAATGAAATAAATTCCTGAATTAGTCTGTAGACTCTAAAACTCACTGGGATTTCCCTAGCAGATATTTTTAAAATGCCAATACCTACACACAACCTGCAATTAATAACTCAGAAGCTCTTGGGGCAGGTGACCTATACCTACTGGCTTCTTAAGTGACTATACGCAACCAATGCTGAGATTTGCTGCATTCTCTGGCCTTGGTGTCCAGGCAGGAAGCTGCTATTCCTAGCTACCAATCTCCAACTCTCTTTCATGGGGACTCAACAGTAGTCTTGATAAGCAGGCACCCATTATTTAATCAATATTAATGTAATAATATTAATCATAATTGATGCCATATAATCAACCAATTTAATATAATTAATCAATTTTAGTAATCAATATGAGCAATTAATATTAATTAATATTAGTGGCTGAGTCTGTATAGCTGGCTCTCATCTGCAGAATTCACCCATGTGCAAAAATATCACCATGTTTCCACACCTTCCCTTTGAAACCATGGACACCCCTTTTATGGAAGAGGACACTAAGTGGAGCTTGACTTTCAGGACATTTACATTAAGCCTTTGCTTACAAAGAACCCAGGGAAGCAAACACAAGCATGAGCTGTTAAGACATCCAGTTCTCAAATCTGCACTAAGTTCCTTCCACAGCCCTGTGCCCTCAGATAAATCAGTCACCTGGGCATACCGTTTGTTTACATGGAAATAATCCAAGCGCCTGCATTTCATAGGAACACTGAAAAGATTAAAGGTTAAAAGAAAATGTATGCAGCTGTGTTATAATCTGGGCCCTCTGCTTTATTTCTTTTGAAAAGAAAAGTAGGGGGAAGGAACGCCGTTTAAAACCAGATCATTTTGATGATCGATTTGTAACACGTAATCAGATCTGAGTGTCTCCTCTAACACAGATGATGGAAACTATTCATATTCTTAGCCACAGAAGTTTCCAGATCTCCCTGGGACTAATTCCAACCAGCCAGACTAGTCTGTAGGCATTGTGAGGACTAGGTGACCTCTCTAAACCAGCAGAGTCATGCAGAATGACAGGAACATTTTACCCAAGAAGGGCTCTTATTTTTATCCCTCTTGGCCTGAAGAAGGGCTCAGCCAGAGAGAGAACAGAACTGCTCATGCGTCATGGGCTCGGCTCAGGCCTTCCAACCTGCTTGAAGGCCTGGGCTTTTGCCAAGTCATTCTGCACAGCAGTCTGTATCTCCCCAGATGACAGGTGAATGAACCAGGCCTCAAGGGGGCTTGCATGTCATCACCCTGGCTGAGCTTCTGCGGTCATCTGACCGTGTGATGGGGCACTGAGAAGCTGGACAACCCAGAAAAAGAAAACAAACGCTTAACCAAGTAACACCCACAGGTGGAAATTCCCTCCAACTTCACAGCCCCAAACCTAAACAGCTGCTTCTTACTGGGGCAAACCATCAACAAAAACTGTACAAGGAAGTGTGTGAGTGCACGTGTGCATGTGTGCGTGCGTGTGTAAAACAATCACTCAAACAGACTCAACACCTTCCAAGTCATGTTAGCCTCACTAGTGCTACTTCCTTCATTATTAATACTTTGCTAATATTATTTGTTTTTTCAAAATAGGGTTTAAAATAGAAATCAACAGACCCCAAGGGCACAGTGTCAAACTTAGGTAGATGGAGACTCAGTATGGGATGGGAGGCCTGGGAAGGCCGCACTGAGGGGCTCTGAGCCCAACCATTGTATATACCCAGTAAAGCAGGCCTTGATGTGTCCCTGAGTCAGCTGAAGCAGGAGCGTGAGAACAATCAGGTTTCCACACAAGCCTAATTTGGGGCTTATTTCCTGAGAATCCCTCCTTTACTGCTGTTGCTGCCTGCTCCACGTTTCCATTGAGACAGGGAGGAGGTATGGGAGGACCAGGAGTGAATTTTCACTTGGGGTGACGGACTGACTTACAGATTCACTGAGGGATTATGGCACTGCATGTCGGGGGAGGGGTCCATCTCAGAGATAACACCACAGTTGTTACCATCGAGACCCTCAAGTACTGGGGATTGGGGAAGCCATATTGCAAAGAGTTGTTTTCTGCTTGCCCTGAACCCTCAGGGTCATGAAAATCTCTCTCTCTCTCTCTCTCTCTTTCTCCCTCTCCCTGCTTTTCTCCCTCCCTTCTTCCCTCCCTCCACCCCCTCTCCCTTGAAACTAGGACAACATGAATGTTTTTGTGGGGTTTTGGTTTTGGTCTTTTGAGACAGGGTTTGTCTGTGTATCACTGGCTGTCTTGACTGGCTCTGTAGACCAGGCTGACCTTGAACTCAGAGATCTACCTGCCTCTGCCTCCTGAGTGTGGGATTAAAAGCATAGGTCACTACCACCCAGCCCAGTCTGAATGTTAATGATTCAAATCAAGAGTCTGGATTATCTGGGGCTTTCGAGACTTACCCTTACTACGTAGTTGAATCTTCTGGAATCCAGGATGGCGGTTGAGAAGTCCAGTCTGTTGAAAGCCTCCCCGAGAGTGCAATACCCATGGCGCTGCATGTGAGTGAGACAGAGGCACACGTTACTCCTGCCACACACAGGTTATGCTCCAGCGCCCTCCGCAGGGACTCTGCTGAACCATCTGGGCCCATCTTAGAGGACTGGGTTTTGCCTTCCCTTCTGCATCCAAATTCCAGGAGACACAGTTGGAGGGTGCAGCCCACATCTTCTTCAGCTGGAGACTAACCTGTGGACTATCTCTTTTCCAGGCTAGTACCACCCTAGCTCTCTACAGACGCTAGTCTGGGAGGGCTAACGTACAGTGCATCACAGGGAACAGAGGATATGCCATTTGGGAGTATGACAGTATCTCTCACACAAAGAAGCGATCGGGTCTCCCTGCCCCCATGGTGACATCACCCTGCACCCACTGGTGTGCTTTGCTTTGTAAGGAAGAAATCAAGTTCTGAACGCTTAGTGTTTATACACAGAGAACCGGGAATACAGAGTTCTGGCATATCATCTCACTCTGTCCTAAGTTCCTGGGTGATTTGGGTTTGTCCCTGATCCACCCTCTCTGGGGCTGATGCCATAAGAGAAACGGGGTGTTTTCCAAGGTCCCTGAAAGAAACAGGAATGCTGCCACTCTATCAATACTGCCCCATGCTCCAGTGAGCAAACTGCCTGTTTTCTCCAGTACCACAGAAGGCAGCTAGAACAAGGACCTGAACCTGCCTACAGCACAAAGAGCAGGCTCTGAAAACACCTGTCGGATTTAGTGGTTAGGCATCTCAAAGGTCTGAAGAACGCCCTTCCCCCACCCTGAGAAAGCTGATCCCTTCCCACCTCCTGTTAGACATAAAGGACTGGTTTTGGTCCAATGGCTCTCTTGGGAGGGTACGGCATTACTAACCATGGCGTCTTAGTAAGCGGATGGGTACTCACCTCTTTAGTACTTCCTTTGTGAACATAGATCCATTTTTCTTGATGGAAATCTACAGAGGCCAAAAACGAAACAGAAACGTATCTGAACAATCTGTAGCAGGCCTAAGATTTTAAATATGACTCATTTTTTTTATTTATCCCAAAGTTTAAAATGTTTTGACAAAAAAGACTTCAACAGTCTAGGAGGATGAAAATGTTCAATTTTAATAGAGCCTTGTATCCTCTGCCAACACGTAAGTATCTAGACCATGTGACTTCAGATTTATGCAAGAGGGGCATATCCATTTTCCTCTTTTGTCCTTTTATTTATTTCATCTTGAGACAGAGTCTATGCATCCTACATTGGCCTCAAACTCTTCTACCTCTGGAGACCCACGATGCGCAGTTCACTGGCTACTGAGGATGAATCCAGGCCTTTGTGCAGTGAGGCAAGCACTGAGCTATATCCTTAGCCTTACAATTCTATTTTCAAAGCCTCAAAACCCGGTTGAAAATCAAAGCGCTGCTGGAATGGATTCAGCTGTAGCCCTGTCCTGCAGCTATCTTACCAATGTCAAAGGCAAGTGACAAGCAGGGATGCGCTCAACTGGCAAGGGCTTTTGAACAGTAAAGAATATGCTAATTTCGCTCGTGAGATGCACAGTTGAGTTTGTGGAAGCAAAGATCCCAGAAACCTCAACTAGTGACAGAACCATTCATAAGATTCTTCCAATAGCCTTTTCTTTTCTTTGGGCACATGGTCTCAAGGCTTTGGATTTGTTATGTAGCAAGGATGGTGGCCTCAAACTTCTGATCCTGCTGCTGGGCTGACCTTCACCCAGGGTCACTATGCCTAATTATGCAGCGCCAACGGATTGAACCCAGGACTCTGTGCATCCCAGGCAGGCACTCTGCCAACTGAGCTATGTCCCCAGACACCCTTTCTTCTTATATGCAAAACAAATGGCTTACACTGAGTTTTGGTTTTGCTGTTCAGTATGTCCTTCTTTCTCTTCTTGGCTGCAACATCATAGTTCAGGCTGTTGAAAAGATTCTCCTTATTGTACACATCCTTGCTGCAGTAACTGGAAGGGAGGAGAAAAGGGATGCAAAAGTCATACTTCCACAGATAACTCAGTGGATTATAAAACACACCAACACGTGCTTTCCAGACAAAACAAAACAATAAAATCATCTTTAAAAAATAAAAAAGAGTCCATACAGCAATGGTTCTCAACCTTTCTAATTCCGGGACCTTTTAATACAGTTTCGCATGCTGTGGAGAACCCCCACCCATAAAATGATCTTGTTGCTACTTCATAACTGTAATTTTACTACTGTTATGAGTTGTAAGGTAAATATCTGACATGCGACCCCGTGAAAGGGTCCTTTGGCCCCCAAAGGGGTTGTGACCCACAGGTTGAGAACCACCGCCACACAGGCACACACACAGACTTCTTTTAGTAAAAATATCATCATCTCCATGCGGAAGGCAGGGATGGGGGCTTGTGTTTCTTTTGAATCCCCTAACAGGGCCTTCCATTATAATTTGATACAGAACACTATACTCTTTAAGAGTGAGCGATGCAGTCTGTTACAGTATCACTTTCAACAAAAGTGCTGAACAGGGGAGGGAGATGGCTGGTGTCATTGTGTTGTACAATGCCTGCCTTTGCAAGAGGCAGAGCATCGATTCCAAGCTGCCGTGGCTCCTTCCTTCCCTTTCCACCATCCTCCCTCCTTCCTATTGTCTCCAATCCTCAATCCCTTCTCTCTTTTTGAGACAGGGTCTCACTATGTAGACCAGGCTGGCCTCAAACTCTTAGAGTTCCACCTGCCTCTGTCTCCCCAGTGCTGGCATTAAAGCTGTGGGCCACCATGCCTGATATCTTTTTTGGTTTTGTTTTTCAAGGCCGGGTTTCTCTGTGAAACAGTCCTGGCTGTCCTGAAACTCACCCTGTAGACCAGGCTGGCTTCGAATTCAGAGTGAGATCCTCTTGCCTCTGCCTCCCAAGAGCTAGGCCTTTCTCTTCTTCTTAAGACAAGATTTTACCGTGTCGCTCAGGCTGGCCTTGAATGACTATATAGTACAGGCTGGTTTTGAACACACTGTTCCTCTGTCTCAGTCTCCTGAGCACTGAGTGTACAGAACGCTGGGACTGCAGGCATGTGCTATCACATCCTGCCCTTCTCTTTATAAACAGTTTTATTGGGCTATAAATCACATATTATGCACGTCATCCATTTTAACGTATAACCAAGCTGCTTTAGCTAGCGTGTTCCTGTGCTGTCTTTAAAACATGATCACTATTACAAGACTCTGAGCTTCAAACTCCCCTTCCAGCAGGTATTTTGCATACAACGCTCATTGTTTAGGTTTCTAGGCCTCAGACTGAATGGTTAAAGTATCCTAACAGAAACTAGGAAAAATGCATAATTCATAACTTAGAGGGTTTGAAAAGACACCAAACACACTTATCCAATTCATAGGTCACTAAAGGGTGGGTAGATCCAACTTTGGCTAGCTGCCTATTTTCTTCAGCAGGCTGAGGTATCAGGGGAGTAAGGGTGACTGTCTCACAATTTAAAGAAAATCCCTGAATACTTTCTGCAAGAATGATGGGGAAGAAATACTAAACTTAAACAAGAAGATGGGTTCCCTGCCTCTTTTCTGTTTTTGTTTTTTGAGACAGGTTTTCTCTGTGTAGCCCCCCTTGTCTTGGAACTCACTCTGCAGTCCATGCTGACCTTGAACTCAGATATCCACCTGCCTCTGCCTTCTGAGTGCTGAGATTAAAGGCGTGCGCTGCCACTACCAAGCCCCCTGCTTCTTTCAACCCCCAAGAGGCAGGCAGGATTTATAACAGCAACCCGTACAAATCAGGGGCGAATGTCCACTAAGATAGGAAGAGTCCCTTAATTGCAGAATTTAGAATGTGATTTGATTTAAATCTCTTTTGGGGGATGAATAGAAGCATATATGTTCTCCTCTATTTCTGGCTTTGTGTAAATGAGAGAAGGGACAAGAAGGCCACAAACTGTCCGGTATTCTTTCAGTGCAAATACTGTCTCAGTAAGTAGAACGTGTCTTAGTAGATTACTAAAATGCTGACACCACCCGCTAGGTACTCTGTGCTGCTTTCAGAACTTGCAGTGAAAATCCTGACAGGCCACCAGTCAACCATTTGTTGAGTTCCCTGATGTCTTTCGCCTTCTCTTTTTCATTCAGGGAAACAGGATATTTTTAGGCCTCAGAATGTGTGTTGCAGAGATGACCTCTCTCAGAGCCACTTGTCCGAGTGAGCCAAGGGTGAATGTTTTGGGTCAGGCTTTGTACAGCTCCAGAGTGTGTGTTTGTCTTGTCTGCATGGCTTTGGGGGTACAGGGGACAGAGTCACTGATGAGGTGATGTTCTGCTTCCAGTCAGCAGAAAGAAAGGAACGGAACAAAGACCAGAACTCTGAGACTCAGAGGCTAACCTAAAGAATGTCAATCAAAGCCGAGGGAGAGGAAAGGATGGAGAATCACTTGAGTGATCTGTGATGTCCCAAAGCTTCAGAAAACAAAGCTAGAACATTCTGTGGGCAAAAATACCACGGGAAGGCTTAGTTTTAAAGAAATACACACAGAGCCCCACAGCCCTACAAACTACAGTAAAAACTCCATACCTAGGGAACAACAAACAAAGCTATCTTCTTGTAAGTCATACATATAGGGGCTGCAGCAGCTTTTACGGATAGCGACCATGCTCTATAATGTTTAACCACCGGCCACACCTCATCTTACGCTTTTCTAATGGACAGGGTTCGAGGGAATTCAGCACTTGTTTTGTTCACAGATGCTACAATGAGCTACTTTAAGCCGGAGTGACTCATTTCCAAAGCCAAATCGAGAAGAATTTCACACCATTGATGATGCTCTCTCGACGCAGAGTATAGAAGAGTTTTACCCACAGGGAAACCCTATACATCTCATCTCATTTTGTATTAGGTTTGAATGCTGGAGGCTGGGCTTGGAAGCAAGGCTGTGAATTCATTTGTGTTGTCTGCTTATGTTTTCTCTTAAGCAATAATCTATTCAGTGGCTATTTTGAGACTTCAGTTATGTCTATTTCCAGGAAATGCAAAAATCAATGGAAAATTACAACTCAAATGTTTAACAACAAAAATGACCACCGTTTGCAAATTACAGCACATATAAAAATATATTTAAAATAAGTAAAACTACCTCAAGGAGCCTGCCTTTCTCACCAAATGCAACAATAGTCAGTGAGTTGTTACTTTGTAACTACTTCTTACTAACCTTGCTGTTTATAGGCCTAGGGCAAGAATAAGGAAAAAGTCCTCCTCCACCCAGCACCCACATTACCAACAAACACATAGAAACTACTATAAAGTAAGTGCAGAAAAGGTGGAAAGATTCCAAAATATTACCATTTTGGCAGCAGATAAAGGTGGGGATAGGAAATACGATCTTTATTTATTTCATCTGTAACTAAGATAAACATTTAATAAAACCATGTCCTGACCCAAAGTAGTCCTATAGTCTTGCTTATGGCCAGTGAGGTTTCGATGTTTATTTGCACAAAGTCATATCTAGGTTGCCAAACTTCAAAGGACTACTTCCTGGATTGCTTTGGAGACACAGGCTAGCGCACGGAGCCTTTTACAATACTGCCTCGCACAGAGCAAGTACTCATAAAAATATCTCTACTATTATTTTTATTCAAGGCATAAAGACCAACTTCCTCCTTCCTGGGCCAGCCTTAGCAACCCACAGTTTGTATCACTGGAATGGGCTTTTAACTACAGAAGTCCAGGCTTGGAGAAGGGACTTGAGATTACTCATCCTGGGGCTGGGGTGCGGCAGGGGTGGCTGGGGAAGAGGCAGTGTGGGCCATCTCAGCCACCACTTCCTTGAAGCATTCTTGGATCACTCCAGCTCATACAATGTTCCTTCCTTGAAATTCTCATCTGCCTCACTTGCCATCCCTCCTTTAGCTTACCGGTCCAATGATTTAGGGGCCAGCTTTAAGCTCATCAAAAGTTGGGGATCTCAGGAGGCATCTGACTGCTTTGAGACTAACATTTGGCTGTTGGAGGACAGGGCCGTGGACCACAGGGACAATGGCTAGCAGAGTCTAGAACAGGTGTACTGCGTAGGCAAGTCAGGGTTCACACTAAACAATAACCCCCCCCCCCCCAAAGCATGCCTCTCTTCACTCCTGCTGGGTGACTCTCAGGATGGCCTATGGAATCAGAGAAGCGGCCTACCCCTTGGGTAGCTCAGCTTACAACTACTCACCTTCTCCTACAAAGGCCCCACCTTTTGTTTTCGGAGAACAAGAGAGGATATTCAAGCTCACCTGTGTAGCCAGGCACAGGGCCCAAACCTTACATCACAGCAAAGCCAAGCCGGGGGAAACAGTGGGATATTTGAGATCACAAAGCCAGACCTCAGAAAGGCCACTGCTTTTAAGAAGTTGGCAGACTCTTGAGCTAAGGAAGGAGGGGATTGTTTACGGTTGCTGGGGGAAAAAAATACCCGTCAACAGCCAGCTGCTCTTCTGAGGGGCGGATGACAAAATTGGTCCTCAAGTGTGACTCAGCAGAGGACTGCAGGTGGTCACTACGTTGGTCACTGCTGAGCCAATGATGACAGAGAGGGCGATAGCTTCAATTCACAGGTGTGATAGGCCAGAGAAGGGGGTCAGGAAGGGATACAGTGCCAGCCTCCTTCAAATTTCAGGGACAAGTTTAACTAATCTTCAGGTTTTCTGCAATAGGAAGAGTGGGGTATCTCTATTTCTGTAGTCTATCTCGTAGAGAGAGCAAGAACTGAGCGCGTATCCAGATGGACTGCGGTCTCTCCACTTTAGATCTGGACCTGCTGAACACAGTGGGCTGTTGTCCTGTTTTATTGGGGCAAGTCACTGTGATGAAGCTGGCTCAACCCCTGCAGCATCACGGCTGGGACGAAGCTGAGCTTTTTATACAGAAACCAAGGGCTGAGATATTAAATTCTGGCTCCTAAGGTGGATAGTTTCAAGGAGCAGAAAGCTTCTGGTTTACTCCCTGCTCTCTTAGTTGAGGAAGAAGTACTAGGTATAACTGTTAAATCATTCTCTGGAAAAACCGTAAGGTGACAACAGTTGGTAATTTATCCGATTTTTTGCGAATAAGATTTCTTTACAGTGTTCTAAATTCCCCTGGGGCTGCCTCAAAGGACCGAACACAAAGGCTAATTAATATATTGGGTTCTCCTGAAAGGCCCTGAGTTCAATGGTTCGTTTCACCTCATTAAGAGACAAAGGGAATTTAAGCATTACGAATCACAATCAAGCTGGAGACCATGGAGGTCAAGGTGCCCATACAACAACAGTTTCTTGATAATTGCCAAACCTCTATTCAAACAACCATCAAGCCTCACTCGGTGGGACCTGGCAAGCTCACAGAACTCTGTTAAGTCCGTTTAAGGATGTAGGGGTGTGTGTGGGTGTTAATCAAAGGCTAGTGGGAGGGGAAGGCACCCAAGAGTGACCTCAACTGCACCAGCCCCCTCTGGACACACTTTCAGCAGGTTCCCCGGGTGTCTCAGGCGGTCAGCTGCTCAGGTTGGGGGTTGATTCTCAACCTCGTAATTTATGAGTGCGTTCCGACTTCAGATTTTCCACCAGGCGACAGAGATCAGGTGAGACGCCAAGTCTGGGTGGTCTTTCTGCAGCAGGCAGGTGCCGCTAGGGATGGGAGTGTGCTCGCTGTGCAGAGACTGACTGGGAAGGGCCACGGAGGAAGCAGGTGCAAGTGCCTGGTCCTTCCTGAAGCCGAGCGTTGTGCGTGGGTGCGTGCGTGTGTGTTTCATCCCTCCCTCCCCTCCACTTCAGCCCCTAAGCATTACCACCACCACCCACTCCGCAAGTCTGCCCAAGAAGGCTGCTGTCCCAGGGCCCAACTGCCCCTCCCAGTTACTCTTTTTTTTTTTTCCGGCCCACTCAGCAGTCGATTGTGTGTGGGAAGAGCCTTTGTGCACTCAGGGCAGGGCCCACGACTAGACCCACCATCCGGCGGCTCGTGACTACCGTGCTTGTTCTCCTTGGGTCCTGTCACAGGCAGGGAAAGGCACACAGTCAACTCGTTAGTGCCCACTTAAAGCAGTAACTTCAATTTCGGGGTCTGAAGGCAGAGTCCCTGAGTTGTGCGCTTGGGTTCAAGAAGTGTTTAGGAACATGATCCCCAGTTGCCAGACTGAGGAATTCCGGGTTCTGTATGGAATCTTTTTCTCTGGGAGACACTGACCTTGGTCAGTAAGAGACACCAAATTAACCATCTCTGGTGTTCTGGCGATCTTTGCAGAAATCCGGGCATCTCACTCCTGCCTCCTCAACCGGAGGCCCCCTCTTTATCCTGGCCCAACCCTGCTTGCCTTCCTTCATCTGCTCCTGCGCTCCCACCCCCAGATCAGCTAAGGTCGGTTTTGTGGGGCTGGAAGTTGGAGAATGTCCTCACCTGCTGAGGTCGCTCACGAAGCTGCCGCTTTTTTCATCCAGGAAGCGCTTCCAGCCGTCGGCTGTCTTCACCCAGCTCTGGCCCGGGGACCGCCAGTCCTGCCCAAGGAACGGCATGGCACCAAGTGCGGACGCGACCCACGGGCAGGATGGATTGATAGCCGGGGACCGGCCTGGCTGGCCCTGGGGATGAGCCGCGCTGGAAAGATGCTGGGGGAACTCAGGCGGCGACTAGGACAAGTGTGGGGAACTGATGTGCAGGACTGTGGGTCTGGGGTGGGCGCGGGGGTCCCTGGACTCGCAGAGGGCGCAGGCGCTGGGAAGGGTCTCGTATCGCGTCGGACTCCGGGAATGCTGCGCCGCTGCCGGGGCGCAGTATTTATCCCGGGCCTCTGCCCCGGCTCTTTGTTGCCGGAAGAGCCGCCTGCTCTTAGCCCGGCCCCCCCACGGGTCCCGAGGCCACGTGGCTTTGTTTATGGGCTCGCCTTGTTTTCCGAGGCGCCCGCGGCTCTCGCTCGGCTCGCGGTTGCACAACCTTGAGCCCGTGGAAATTTGAAGCCGTGTGGTCAAGCCAGATGTCTCGCTGTCCCTCGGTCCCCTGGCACCTCTGTACCCACTCCTTACCCCCCTTCCCAGCTGCTGCCACCGAGACTCCGGCCCTGTACTCGGCACTAAGTCCTCCCCACGGCTTTCGGACTAGCCAGATGCTGCTAGGAAGCCAGATCAGAGGTTTGGGAACCATCAATCTCTAGGTGTTTGGGAACGTCCGTAGGCAGATCAGCCTAGGAGAGGCCAGAATGTCAGGGGCAGGGTAGGGGCGCAGTCTTTGAACCTCTGACTGCCAGTACCAACTCCAGGCGCCAGGGTGTGCTAAGGGGAGGAGGGGACCCGGTGCGGCAGGAGTGGGGAGGGACAGCCCCCACCCCTTCCGCCTTAAAGCTGTCATCGATGCATGTGCTGTCAGGCTCGACTCCCCGCCCCCATCCCCGCCCCCAGTGGCAAAAAATGGGGAAAAGAGGAGGAGGCCCTGCAGCGTCTGGACCCCAAGGCGTGGAAGTAAAGAGCTGAGACAGTCCTGGGTCCCACCCCGGGAACCCTGAGCAAACAACAAGCTGGCGACTGAGGCGCCTGGTCAGAACGACGCTGCCAGTGCCGTGGAGTCAGAAAAGGTCTCTGGCTATGCTCACTGTACCTGCTCTAGTGCCCCAGGGCTGCGCGTTTATCCCCGTGGAATCTTTAGAGCCCTCCTCTCTCACCCTTTCTGCAGTTCAGTTCTCGGTGTCTTTTGGCCTCTAGCAATAAAGTCCTACCCAGGGTCTTATGTCGACTTTCTTCTCAACTCAGGGTCATCTTCCCCTTTCTGCAGAGTATAAACTCCCTTTTGTTCTAGAGACATCTCAGTCCAGTGTCTTGCTACCAGGCCCAGAATTGGCTGCTCATTACCATTCTCTCTCTCCTCCCCCACCCGTGCGTGTGTGTGTGTGTCTGTGTGCGTGCGCGCGCGCGTATGTAGAGGCCAGAAGTTAGTATCAGGTATCTTCTATAACTTTGGGCCTTATTTATTTTTGAGACCTACTCGCTGAAGCTGGGGCTCATCTATTGGCTAGACTGGTAGGCAAATGAACCTCTGGATTCTCCTGGTTTTGTCTCCCAGCACTAGGATAAAGGAATAGTGCATTGTGGTTTTTTTTTTTTTTTTTAAACATGGGTGCTGGGGATCTGAACTCAGGTCCTTATGACTGCTCACCAAGACCTTCTCACCGAGATGTCTCCCTACCAATCATCTCTGCAACCTCTCCACGGCCCATTCTTGTGTGAACAAGTGCCTACTGCAGCAGGGTGGGGTGGCTTCCTATTTCCTTCACTGGCCTCGCTAATTAGACCCCTAAAGTTATATTCATCTGGTGCCTACGGTGGCACCAGGGAGGAGCAGTAAAAAACCCCTTGCTAGAGAATGAGCTTCCCGCACTCTTCTTCCACACCCCCGCCTCTGTAGCCATGGGCAGTGTCTCTTCCTCTGTGCACTGAAGCTGGGTAAAGCCGCCGAGGAACTGAGTGTGCCTAAGTGGGCCCTGTGTTGCAAGGGGGAAGGAGATGTTTTTAATAAAGTCTGTCTTCAAGTAGCCAGGATTTTCTGATTTTGGTTTCCCACCATAAATAATTTATTAGTGCGGCGATAGTAAAAGTGACTTATAAAAGCCTCGCAGAAGATCCCAAACAAATGTTCAACAGTGATGGGGCTAAGAGATGAGGTCTGGGCTTTCTTGGAGGGGAGCTGACACGGGTATGGAAACACCAGGGCTGTGATGTTAAAGATGCAGGGGGCGACTTCCAGGAAGAAGCCGCAGAGGTCTGGAAGGCCAAGGATTTGAATTCTAAGTTTGTTAAGACAGCTTTCATTTCGCTGGGTGAACAGCCAAAGGCTCCACTTACTCAAGACGATGGTGCAGGGGATGCCTGTCTTTCGGACTGTTTAGAGAGGACAGTAGTTGGGTTTTTAAGTGCCATTTCTTCCCTCTCTATTATAGTGATATGTATCCACGCGCTTACTGGCCTCTTGCAGGGGAGTGGAGAAAGCCTTGGGTGGACATGTACATAACAGTTGAAATCCTGAACATATGTCGCTAGCGTGCTTACCGCTATGTCAAGGGCCCCAGTGCATTGGACCCATGGGAGTGATAAAACCTTCTCCAGGTTAGGCTCAGGAAATTGGCGGTTTCTTCCCATGTGTTGTGTCACAGTTTCCTCCAAGACTGAAACATCCCATACTGCAGGTAAGCTCTTCAAGCAAGTAGGTCAATAATTCAAAATAGCTTCAGGAAATCCCTGAAACTGCCCAGGTTCACTAGGCCCCGCCCTGCCAGAGTAAGCAATAAAGACTGCTGAGAGTCACTCTCAGAGAAGTCAAGGTATGAGCAGGAGACTCCACCAAGCCAAGCTACAGACATGACTCTGAGATCAGACAGGATGCCCGGGAGCAACGGAGACCACCGAGCAGCCTGGAAGAGGTTTAGAGCAGAGGAACTTGGAAAGGACCCTTTCCAACCTGCTACACAGCCTGAAGTCTGTGCAGTGTGTTCGAAGTTCCCATCTTTGTTCCCTGTCACCTGTGCTGGGGTGGACCTGGGGATGCAGCTGTCTCTGAGTCACTTCTGCTCCTGGAACTCACCTCTCACCCATATTCCTGCAAGTGCTCCCAATAACACTCATTGGTTTACCAAGCTGGCCTTTGGTGGTATCCATACTTTGTTCTGTCACGGGCTCCCTCTCTAGACATGTGTGTAGTGTCTCCCCGCCCCCCCCAAAAAAAGTTTTGTCACATAACACTATGGCCCAAGTATGAGTATTTATGAATAACTGACCAGTGTGTATAAAACTATCAACCACAGCTTCCTCCCCTGGAATGACTACAGCTGAGAGACTGCTTTCCTTCAGAGACCTTCCACTGAGACCAGGAAAACCTGCCTCGGAGGTTTATACAACCAACCTGCCTCCTTGATTCAGATGTACAAAGTGAAGGCTGAGTTTCTGGGCCGCTTCTGTGGTTGCTGCAGCTCCATCAGAGTTCATGTCTCGGCCTACCCACGCCCAGATGTTCGCTACCTGTGCATCCTTTCTTCATTCTCTTACCACCCCCAGTCTGGTTTCCAGAACCAAAGCCGCGCACGGCGTGGCAACATCTTAATGGGCAAAATATTGATGGAGGAGGGTTAACTGTCTATGTGTTACTTTCATTGGTTAATAAAGAAACTGCCTTGGTTTTTGATAGGACAACAGCTTGCTTAGGTGGAGTAGACAGAACAAAATGCTGGGAAGAAGGAAAGTGAGTCAGACACCATGACTCTCCTCTCCGAGACAGCCGCAAGTTAGAATCCTCCTGGTAAGCCACCACCTCGTGGTGCTACACAGATTATTAGAAATGGGTTAGATCAATATGTAAGAGTTAGCCAATAAGAGGCTACAGATAATGGGCCAAGCAGTGTTTAAATGAATACAGTTTCTGTGTAATTATTTTGGGTAAAGCTAGCTGGGTGGGTGGTGGGAAGCGGCCCGCCGCTCCTTCTACAATATATAACCTTTGAGTTATTGGCCATGTGACTTGCTTGGGCCAATGGAATACATGGTAGGAACGTGTGATGAGAGTAGAGGTTACTTGCCTAGGGGCTTGAGAGCTCCTGTTTCTACCATGCGGTACCCTGGCTAGTCACTCTCTGAACTGCATGAGTGGTACCATACGTCCTGGGATGTGACACATGAAACAGGTATCCCTGTTATCCTACACATGTTAGCAAGAAGTAAATGTTCCCTGTAGAATGCTGCTGAGATTTGTTTGTTCCACAACATTATCATCTCAATAGTGGGGGAAAGGAGCCCCCAAGACCAAGTTCTCAGCACAAAGGAGATTAATTTGTCCGAGAGGAACAGAGGTCAGGGAATAAGAGACAAAGACAGGAGATAGAGGATGGGGGGGGGAACAAGGGAGAGGGGCAAGGATATTGTTCTGAAGGGACAAAGGACTGCCTCTGGATAGAGAGGAGACAGATGCAGGACAGAGGAAAATTGTAGTGCCTGTACTACAGGACAGTATGCAAGCTGGGAACTAAGCTGAAGGCTTAAAAACACACGCACACACAGACATAGACATGAGGACACGGGTCATCTTGGACACAAGAATGCCCACTTTATTGTGCTCAGGGGCAGCTTACAGAGGGCTCTGGCCACACCCCAGCATTCCGCATCTTTCAGCTGCAGAATCATTAGAACCTACTCCCCTACCATCAGGGTCTTGTGCTCAGAGCAGAGAAAAACAAGTTGTTTACAAGAAATTTAGGGTCTGGTGATCCACAGTCCCCAACATATCCTTCTTTTCTAAATAATTAGACCACGAGTTTGGACTGGCATGGGCATGGCACAAATATGATAGCAAGAAGTTGAAAAATGCCTTAGCAAACATGCTCATTTTAAGTATTCAATGCTGGTACCGGCTACCGGATAGTCACAGCAGCCATCTGGCCGATGGCAATTCCAGAGTGGCCATGAAGAAGGCAGTAGCCTTGACAATAGCGGCCACCCACGGTGATCCAGAAGTCTTGGCCAGGATGGCTCCACCTGGCCAGGCAATGCACCTTCCGAAGCCCACCGCTCGGGAAGATCCAAGAATGCAGATCCAGGAACTGCAGCCGCGTCTGGGCCTCTTCGCGAACACTCACAGCAGTCAGCTGCCTCCCTTGCAAAGCTCTGCCCCAGCCGCCACCTCTCTGCTCTTGGGGACTTCAGAAAGCAGGCCCATACTCGGGAATCGTGGAAGGGACCTGAGCTCGCCACCTGCATGCCTGCACTCTGCTGGTCGGGCCCACAATGTCGGACAGGCTCCTGAGCCCCACTTAAATAATCGGTTCGGGAATTTGGGCATAGCTCTCTCTCCAGACTA